AAATGTTTAATAAAAAATAAAGTAGGTGTTGTACTCACAAACGACAATATAGTCAAGGCACATCATAAAGAACAGCTGGGTCAACACCGCGCTGAGTAACAGTCCGCAATAGGGAGTGTAGACATCCAATACGCTGATGCGTTTCGAGGACTTGCCTCTTCCTCAGAGCCAAGTCAGCCTATTGGCTACTCCCTACTTTGTTCTTTCCTCATTCAGTATATTTGGATTTCCCCGGTCTATTGAGGGCAGCAAGGTGTGCATGTTCCAGGACATTCTTAATGTGGTTGTAGCCTGCATCGAGTCCATCCCCAAGCGCAGGAGCATTTGTGTTTGCTGGTTATTTGCACATAACTAATGTACATTCAGTTTCACAGAATGAATAAATCTTAGATTTGTTTTTTTAAATCTACCCCAAAGTCTTGCAAGAGAAGAGACTCAGCAGACACATGATCTTATGTTAAAATTAGCTGTTCTGTTAAATACCTGTGCAAAGGTGTTTTTTTTTTTTGTCTGGAGGTAAGAGGTGTGTCATTTACAAAGCATTGTAAATCATCAGATCAAGATAAGACTGGGATGTGACAGTACATAATCCCCCAAAAATTAGAAGAGCAAATCATTAGAAACTTCATAAACGATGGCAGATGTTTTTAAGGTTGAAACTGCATAGCGTCATCCTTTCTAAAGAAATGCCTTGGATTATACAATGCACCCCATATTGTCCCTTCTTCCTCCAACTTCTCTGCACAACTGTAGGGGATATATTATTATGTGCAAAATTGTAAGTGACAGCACAGTTGTAGGGGAAATATGATTATTATTTCTGATAAAGCCTTTTAAATATTCTGGGTGATTAATTCTTTGGTGTGATTCATTTTTGGAACAGTTGGTGCCAGGGGCGGACTGACAACTCATGGGGCCCCCGGGCAATAGGGTATCATGGGGCCCCTGTGTCCTTGCCAAAACTTAAAAAAGCCTATGAAAAAGGTACCAGGGGCATCTCATGGGGCCCCCTACTGACCCCGGGCCCTCGGGCAGCGCCTGAGTTTCCAAATGGTCAGTCCACCCCTGATTGGTGCTGTTTCTAACCTTAATAATTTGGCTTGTCTAAGAATAAATTTAAGGTTTTTGTGAAGATTTTGAAGCAAGTATTTTTCCCAATATTTGTTAATAATCCTCCTCAGAGTAGGGGGCCTAAGCATTATCTTTCATTATAATTGACAAATCCAGTCTATTTTTTACAGCATTGGCCTTTGTATTGTCACTTTCTTGCTTTGATGAGTGTTTTACTTGTTTCGCTTCCACCTCTAAAATCTTTTGTACCACTTTTCAATGAATTGGGCCATCAGATTTACTACTTTGTCTTTGTAGTCTTCTACCTTGTTTCACATTACTTTCACATTATTCATTATTTTATTTGTATATTCTGTTTCTCCTTTTTTTCACTTTTATTATTGTTTTTCCATTTATTTACTAATTCCTTTCTTTCTTAATATTAGTTTTTTATTTTTTCAGTGATTCCTGCTATCCTGTTTTAATTTCCCAATTTCTACTTTTTATTCTTTATCATTTTTAATTTTTGTATAATGTTTCATATACATATATATATATATATATATATATATATATATATATATATATATATATATAAATATATATATGTGTATGTATGTGTGTGTGTATATATATATATATATATATATATATATATATATATATATATATATATATATATATATATATATAATTTATTAATTTTTTTTCATGTTTCCTTACTTTCATTTTTAAATCCTTTCATTATAACTTTTTTTCAATGCACACTCTCTTTACCACTGTACACTTTACCACTTTACACCTGTTGACATTTTCTCATCACAACCAAAGATGCATATTTAAAGTGGTAGTAAACCGCATCCAAAAAAAAAAAAAACCCATGCAAGGTAAAGGCATAATGTGCTACTATGCGTTGCATACTAGCACATTATGAAGGACTTACCTTGAAACGAAGCCTTCCAGGGGAGAGGTCTAATGGCTCCCCGAGGCTTTCATTTTCACCGGTCTTCCTTCTGGGATCACAAGCTCTGGTTGGCTGACTGACTGAGCCGTGATGATGTCACTCCTGCGCATACGCGTGGGAGTCCCAGGCCAAGGCACAGTGCTCTGAAGGAACGGCACGGGCAAGCTGTTCCTTCAGAGTGCATGCGCTGGCTATCAAAAAGGGCTAATATCTCCAAAATGGTGCATGTTTAGGAGATATTAATTTTACCTACAGGTCAGCTTTATTATAAGCTGACCTGTAAGTAAAATTATTAAAGAAGAGTTTACTACCACTTTAATCAGTGGCTCTGTGTGTCTTCACCACCTCTGTGGCCAAGCTCCAGTGGGTGGAACATGTCAGGGGGTGTGGCTGGAGTGGGGGCTGAGGCCCATCATATACCAACCTGACTGGGCTGGTTTGAGGTCCATCTCCTTTCATTATCCATGCCTCTGGATTAGTATAAGGACGCCGGCTCCCATTTTCATTTTACCGGCAGGGTAATTTCTGTGCTGTCTGGCTTGAAGAATTTCTAGGTAAAAAAAAGAAAGACTCTCTTGTCAATATTATTCTATTAATTGAGTGTTTTTGGCTGCTACATGTCTTTTCCTAAAAAAAATCCCAATACATGTAAATTAATTGGTTTCTTTAGTACCGTGAAAGCTATAGCATTTATAAATGGCAGTATAGATACTGTAATTTAAAAAATTTTTTCTTTTGTATATTAGTAATTGCGGCAAGGAGGTCAGCAACTTATAGCGGGACTGCGGCTAGCATTATGACACTGGTGCAAAACTGATTTGGTGTCACTGACCAACGTCCCCAAGTGACACCATACAGTGATTAGTGCTAATAAAAAGCACTGGCACAAGCCCCAAAGCATGTACTAATGCACTGGGCAGGAAGGGTTAAACATGTGGGATTTCAAATTTTGGGTTAACTGTGCGCTGTGTGTGTTTTACTATGGGGCTGTGTGTGTGTTTTCACTGTGCGTCTTAAGTACAAACTGCTTTCTGCATGGCTCTGCTATGCAGAGCCATACATAGCAGTGTGCAGGACTGACAAGGGAGAGAGATCTGTATTGTTTTCCTAAATACATCTAAATAGTCTCTACCCCTGTCAGTGATACACAGCAATTGCGGGTGCCAGCGGGCAATCACCGGCCGGGACAAGTGATTGATAGGTGAGGCTGAAATGGCCTCCCTACCCAGAAATGCGAAATCACACACAAATATATATATATATATATATATATTGGTGCTATGATTTTGCGCAATACCCCTGCAGTACGTCTGCTATAGGGCTAATGAAAGAAACCACATAATAAACATTAACTACTGGAAATCGGTTAATAAGAATTTCTAGGTAAAAAAAAGCATTGAATCTCTTGTCACTGATATATGGGGTATTCTGAAGATTATACTCATTATCATTAGCACATTCTGTTATGCTTCTAGTTCTTCTCTTAATCCCATCCAATGCAGATAATATCATCTATAAATCCCTTCCACAAAAAAAGGTTTGCAGTTAGTCTCTCCCTCCTCCAAACAAAGCTAGATTCCCAATCAGTCATGTAGAGGTTGGTGAGGCTGAGCTTAAATATGGTTTCCATAGCTGGGCCCATTAGTTGTAAAAAGAAATCACTACTTACTCAGAAATAACTTTAATTGAAAATAAATAAAATAGTATCAGCACTTGAATAAATCTGTTTTGCGGTACAGAATTAGCTTTCATAAGGGCAGGTTTTACTGCATTGCCTGTGATGTCATTGACCCAATATACATTTTTCATGAATGAGTAGGGGTACTATGTACGCATTTTCATTCACATAGGTGGGGGGGCTGGTATGAGGGGTCCCCTTGTTTTTAAAGCAGAACTTCACCCAAAAGGGGAAGTTCTGCTTGTTTGCATCCCCCCATTTAGCTCTTTTTGGGGGGGAGGTCAGATCACCGCGGCAAACTGTGAGGAAATTTGGTCCCTCCTCCTTCCCCCCCATAGACTTCTGGGACACAAACTGACCCCAGAAGACTCTGGGGACCAGTCACAAAGCACAGCGCAACTTGAACAAGCGCAGTACAAAACCAGCTGTGAATCTGGAAGTCTTCACTATCGGTTTCCCTTACCTAAGATGCTCGATCCTTCACCCAAAACTGATTGAAGAATCCCCTCGGGTGAGGACTTCGTTGGATCTCTGGACAGGTAAATGTCTTTATATTAAAAGTCAGCAGCTACAGTATTTGCAGCTGCTGACTTTTAATTGTATTTGCAGAGACTGGAGCTCCTCTTTAAGGAGACGTCCAGATTCTGATAACCCCTCCACCCAATTACCCCCACAACACTAGGTCACAGTTGGTGGACAACCTAAATAAAATTCTGTTAGCCATTTTTTAACTGCATACCCAAAGAAATCCTCTGTAAATAAAATGTACATTAAAGGAGAAGTATGATGCTGCAAGCTGTCCTGAGCCGACTGAGAGATCACGTGACTGCTAATCGCTCAGTTCCCAGTCTTCACTGAGCAATGAGCAGTGGCTGTTAGTCACTGCAGCTGCTGGCAGGAGAAGGGGTGGAAGCAGCTGGGTTCATGACCTGAGAGGCTGAGCCAGCTGCCTGTAAAGCACATGGGTGGATCCCAACATTATTGCTGGGATCCCTCTAGAGTCTGGAGTGGGTCTGTGACATGGTTTTAGCCTGCTCTCGGCTGATTCTAGTAAATGCACTCTTGTGACCCACATGAGAAGTATGATCAAAAGAGCTTTGACCACACTTCTGATTTAATGTGTTCCTAAACCCAGGACCCTGCATTCACTAAATCTGGTCTCCCACAGTACACACAACATGGAAGTGCAATTATTTTAGTAAATATAAATTGCTAAATACGTTTTCTCATCAGCTGTCTATAGCAGTCTTGTGATGCAGATGCCCTGACCTCTGTCTGGACAGTGCTGACTGACCATGTGCTGATCACATGCACTCTCCCAAGAAAAAAAAACTCTAGCAATACACACTAAACTGAGCATGTGCAGAGTGACTCCACATTATATGTCTGATCAGGAGATAAGAGGGGGGCACTGGAAGAAGGGGAGGATAAGAGAAGTCAGGATCAAACAGCCTCAATGCAGAGCATGCTTTCTGCATATACAGACTGATTTTACTGTTGTGGGTTTAGTCACAATTTAACTGTTTACATTACATTGCAACAACAGTACCTGACAATAGATACCAAGTAGCAAAATCTCCGTTGAGGAAAAATTATTGGTTTGCTTCAAATTAGTCTGTCATTCAGTATTTGCGATTTTCTGTCCTTAAAGTGTTACTAAACCCACCACAGTAAAACCAGTCTGTATATGCAGCAAAGCATGCTTGTTATACTCACTGTGGAACCTAAGGGGTTAATCCTCCACATTGTGTAAAAATGCTGTTTGATCCTGACTTCTATGATCCTCCCCTTCTTCCAGTGTCTCCCTCTTATCTCCTGATAAGACATATTGTGTGGAGTCACTCTAGCAATACACACCAAACTGAGCATGTGCAGAGAGGTTTTTTTTCTTGGGAGAGTGCATGTGATCAGCACAGGGCTAAGCAGCACTGTCTAGACAGATGTCAATGGGTCCTGCATCCTCCTAGAGAATTAAAACTCCTCCAAGCTTTAACCAGTTCTCAGCTGGACACTGATAGAAGTCACAAGATTGCTGATTAGAAAAGGTATTTAGCAGCTTATATTTACTAAAATAATTGTATTTCCATGTTGTGTGTACTGTGGGAGCCCAGATATAGTGAATGCAGGGTCCTGGATTTAGTAACACTTTAATAAGATAGCAAATATGCTGAATGCCAGTGAACCAGACAGAGAACATCCTGCAAAGTGACAGCAGTCTGAGTCATGAGGAAAAATAAGGTTTTACTACACCTGTCACTCACCTGAAAAAAGCTGTTTTAGCCCAAAGTGGAATTCCTGCCTAACACTAACTATGTTTAACCGCTTCCACGCCACCCTATAGCAGAAATACTGCTACAGGGCGGCACAGGTGGTCAACATCATGTGTATATGCATGTGTATCTCCAATGGGGGAGAGACCTGTATGGAAACAATACAGCTCTCTCCCCTGTCAGCTCCTGCACACTGCTTTGTATGGGTCTGCGCAATTGTCAGTTAAAGTAACGCAGCGGCGTATCACAAAATATGGCCTGGTCAGGAAAGGGGGGTAAATCCTCTGGAGGGCAAGGGGTTAAAAACGTTTCCTTCCCCTCATGCTACCTAAGAAGCTTAACCTGTGTACAAAAGATGTGTATATATACCTATATTTAGTCTGCTCTGGTCTGGTGACATGATCCCCTTTGTCAATGTCCAGCATCTGCATGGGAGAGGAGGGGGAGCAGGGAGCAAGAAAAAGCTGGGTTACAGCCTGTCATTGCCCTTGTCAGGGGACAGTAGCCATGCGACAGCACCATTCTTTTAAGAGCTCACAGCTGCTGCTTTCTGTAAGCTACGTCCTACTGAGCAGTATGGGAATGATATGTCAGACTGCACTTGGGTGCCAAGAAGAGAGCAGAACATTTGTCTGGGTGAGACATAGGTTGGAGAGAGGTAACATGCTGGAAGGGAGCAGAGCCATGTCACAGTCAGACAGCAGGCATGCATAAGCTGCCATCTGGTGCTGAATAAAAGATTCACTATATTCATCCCCGATCTAGTGATCTGAACACCACTGTTGTGCACTGTTGTCCAACCTCGCTGTGCTTAAAAATCTCCTATATTATCTAGCAGAAAATTGCTTGCCTGGGTGGCTCCAGAGTGGCTGATTCCTATCTGCCTTTTTTTTTGCTAATTTTTGAATTATCTTTATATTTTTTCATTCTTTTTATTGTTTTCTTTATTATTTTGTAATGATGGAGTGGTTGGTCTAAACACAGCAGAGGCTAGGCTTGTCTGCAATTCCTCAGTTTTGCCAAAGTAATCTTCTTCATCTGCCCAGACACTAAGCTTCCAGTTTTTTTATTTATCTGCCCTGAAATTCTTAGTCACATGTGCTCCCAAAGGAAAGTACAGGCTGCTGTACTGTGCACACTGCACATTAATATTCCACTGTTTCAAGCATTTACACCATACGCCATGTGAAAGACCATGTGCAATCATCAACATTTAGGGCCAGTTCACACTACAAAAAAAGCATTCCGGATTCGTTTTTGCTTACAGTTTACACCACATGAAGTCCTGGTGCAGTTTTGATGCAGTTTGCCATGTTCCAGTACAGTTCTGTGCAGAAAAAAATGCAGCATGTTCTGCTTATTTTTCTGCACTGGAAACTGACTGGAACTGACTGCAGTAGTGTGAACTAGGGCCACTGGAATACATGAAAAACACATGCATTTATGATGCAGAAATAAAACGCACTGGACTGCATCTGTGTAGGTTCACACTATAGAAATGCAGTTCATATGTGTTCCGGATGCATTTTTGCATGTGCGTTTTTGACGCATTTTTTTTTAATACGGTATTATTTAATTATTGTTTATTATATCTTTATTACATTTTTTTTATACAAATATATATTAAACCAACAACATACAGTGTAAAAATCCAAATTTAATTACAATCCCCCTCCCCATGTTTACCATCCAACCCCCTCCCTATGTCTTCTTGACCCTACCCTTTACTTCTTATTCTTCTTTTGTCAATCTATCTCACTATTTCCCCTCCTTTTCTTTTACTCTATCTTTCTTTTCACTTCCAAATTCTTCCATCCTCCAACTGCTTCTACAAATCTTTTTGATTTTTGAAAATTATACCATCCCTCCCAGATCTTCTTAACTTTTTCAGTTTTATCATTGTCTATATGATACAATTCTTCCATTTTATATATATATATATATATATATATATATATATATACTTCACCCTATCAATCCAATCTTTTATTTTTGGGAATTCTGATGTTTGCCAATATTTTTATATTTATATTTCTAAGTGAGCGCTAAAGTTAACAAAGCTGCTGAACACAAAAGGTACCAAAATACAACCTCCAAAGACTCACATATAAAAAAGGTGCAGCGCTTATATATTAAAACATGCAAGATATCAAAATGCAAGAGTATATCCCTGCAAAACGCAGGCAGGGTATAGTTATTATACTGCCCCTTATAGTCTCAATTAACACACAAATATATAGTTCACAATCTCCCAGTGGGTAGGGTGAGGTGGAGGATCAAATGGATCTCTATTGACACACGGTGATAGCCAAAAAGGTGATGTATGGTGATATCCAAAACTGGTAAAAGATTGTGCACTCACCAGATGCACAACCAATATGCGCATGTAAGAGATAACCCCTCTCAAGGTATGGTTCCAGGACTCATCAAAGGCAAAGATCTGGTCAATCTCTACGATGTGGACCCTCAGCTGTCATGCATGGCTCTGTCCTCCCTATAGCTCTTTACTCTGGAGGTAGTTGGAAGCCAGTTGGACTTCCGGTCCCGGAACCGTTCTCCCGGCCGCCCCCCGTCAGCGCTGCTCTCGGTTCTGGCTGCAGAATGGCATCCTCCCAGACGGGCGGCCGGGAGAACGGTTCCGGGACCGGAAGTCCAACTGGCTTCCAACTACCTGCAGAGTAAAGAGCTATAGGGGACAGAGCCATGCATGACAGCTGAGGGTCCACATCGTAGAGATTGACCAGATCTTTGCCTTTGATGAGTCCTGGAACCATACCTTGAGAGGGGTTATCTCTTACATGCGCATATTGGTTGTGCATCTGCTGAGTGCACAATCTTTTACCAGTTTTGGATATCAACATACATCACCTTTTTGGCTATCACCGTGTGTCAGTAGAGATCCATTTGATCCTTCACCTCACCCTACCCACTGGGAGATTGTGAACTATATATTTGTGTGTTAATTGAGACTATAAGGGACAGTATAATAACTATACCCTGCCTGCGTTTTGCAGGGATATACTCTTGCATTTTGATATCTTGCATGTTTTAATATATAAGCACTGCACCTTTTTTATATAAAAATAAGCAAACCCACAGGTCTATCGGTATGCTAATCTGGATCTCTTGTATATATTGCGTTATCTACCCCCAGAACTGCTGTATTTTGGGACAATCCCACCAGATTTGTGCCATTGTGCCCTTACCCCCGCATCCCCCCCAACACTGGAATGAAACCTCTGGCCCTAATTTATGCATCACATTGGATATAATATACCATCTTACTAGGCACTTATAATTTATTTCAACTATATTCATATTCACTGCCCCATGTGTTAAGCTAAACATTTTATTGTTTTGTTGTTCATTCAATTTTGTTCCAAGCTCCATTTCCCACTTCTCAAAACATTTTTGGGATGATAGTCCCTCTATTTCAGTAAGTATTCTATATATCCTTCAGGTGATATGTTTCTGTATTCTATTTATACTCAACAATTGCTCTAATGGATACATTTCATCCTCTTTCCTTAGTGGTTGTGGAAACTTTGCAACAAAATGTCTTATTTGGTAATACTGCCACTCATCCAGTGTAAAAGATTTTTCTTATTCTCTCAACTTGTGTAGCAAACTTAATATTCCTCTATCCACAATATCTTTTAAACGTGAATTTTTATCCATTTCCCTGAAATATTGTCATTTCTGGGCGGGAAAAACCTAGTTCCCGCAAGCAGAATTGACAGTGAATTAAATTTCCAATCTTTCTGCTTATGTATTTCATCCCAAATCCCGTGTGAAATTCCCGTGGTATCCAAATTAACTTTTCTAGTGGTGCCTTACTAAGTGCACTTTCCATTCTTACCCAACTTTTCCCCTTTATATTGTGTATCCAATCCACAATTCTTGATAATAGCACCAATTTATAATACCTCCTAAAATCTGGCATATTTAATCCCCCTTTTCTTTTTATTGCTGCATAGAACTTCATACTTGACTCTTGTTTTTTTTGTTAATCCACACATATCTAAGTATAATATTTTTGAGAAACCTGATGAAAGACCCCGGAAGATATATCAGAAGCATATTAAATTTATATAACACTTTTGGTACTATGACCATCTTAATTATATTTATCCGACCTATCCAAAACAACTTTCCCGTAGAAGTTTCCCTCAGTTCATCTTTTATCTCATTTATTAGTGGAATATAATTTGCCTGATACAGATTTTTTATATGCCATGTTAGTTTTGTTCCCAAATATTTTAATTCTTTTTCTCTCCATTTTAAAGGGGAACTCTTTTTGTAGAATCTGTTTCTCAGCTTTTGAAACATTTATGGTTAATATCTCACTTTTCAAGGGATTGATTTTGAAATTGGATAGCTCCCCATATTCTTTCAATTTTCTCATTAGGTTTGGTAATGTTAATCTAGGTGTTTAATGTAAAACAGCATATCATCTGCATATGCTGCCACTTTATGTTCAACATCCCCTGTTCACATTCCCTTAACACCTACGCTATTTCTAATAGTTTCCAATAGCGGTTCCATAGAGATGACAAACAACAATGGGGACAAAGGACATCCCTGTCTTGTTCCATTACACATCTTAAAAAATGTTGATAATGAACTGTTTACATTCATTGCAGGGGCACCTATATAGGTCTTTTATCCACCATATCATTCTAGGTACGATTCTTAATGTTCTCAATGTATGTAACTAGTATGTAATCCTGGTAGCTAGCACCTTTGCATACAATTTTGTATCCGTATTTAACAAAGATATGGGTCTATAGCTGAGACACTGAGACCAATCTTTCCCCTCCTTAGGTATCACTGTAATATATGCCTGTAATGATTCCTCCATCTTTGTCTCCTCTCCTAGTGTGTTCATATATGAAAACAATTTAGGAGCTAGATGTTCTTTGAACTTCTTATAA